AAGTGCATAAGACGCGTTTACTCGTGTTGGACACATTTTTTGCGGAAGCCGTGTCAACACTACTTGCAAAAATTCGCGGAACTTTACGTGAAAGTTAAGTTCCGTAAACCTATCTATGTGTGGACAAGGCCCTCTGATTATAAGAAATGAACGAAAAAAAATTATGAAAGAACAAACATAAATGTGGATTCAAAATTTTAACTTCCGCCGCCTCGCCGCGATGACCGCACTTTGTTCGGCACAATGCGTGAAGTATTCCTACAGTCTTGTAGGCGCTATACGTTTCGGGCCGACCGCTGCTGCACGCACTGTGTCTGACGCAATGCGTGAAGTATTCATGCAGCCTTGTAGGCGCTAATATGTGTTACATACCGACCGCCGCGCCGAAAGTTTCTCCTTTTCATCTCAAGTCCTCGTCATCATTGCTCTCTGCGCCGCGCCATTCCAGGCCAAATTGCGTGTTTAGTTTCTCTCTTAAATCGACTAATTAAAGGTGCTGTCTCTTGTATGACCGAAATACGACGAAATTAGAAACATACTCTCAGGAAATAAGATATTTTGTCACTTTTTCTCGTTTGTAATTTTTTTTCTGAATCTGATTTTATTTTATACCTACATTTAAAAAAATTGCAAAATTTGCCGGCCCATGTGGCTCCCCCCCCCCTAAATCCAGCCTTGCGGGCCCATTTTTTAAAGGAACCAGCTTTTAATGTTGTTATTATCAGGTACTATTTTAGATTTTTAACCATTTTCATTTTGATTTTTCCAACTGAGTATGGCTTAATTTTCAGCCAAAACGTTTTGGTTTTGTGTACGTGAAATTTTAGCCTTGTTACTCGCATTTTAAATTGTTTTTTATTGTTTATTAATACCCTCTCTCGATGCATCGTGTAAATATTTTGCCGGCCAGCGTACGGTAGTAAAAATATCGGTGTGATCCCGCGATTAAAAATAGAGGTAGTATAATTTAAATATTTGTGTTCTATTAGCGCGATTTCGGCATTACGCTTTGCCTGCCAAGTCCGCTACACACCCACAGTGCGATGGATTTATGCAGATTTCCGGGAAGTTTGTTGCATGCGTGGATTAACCAGAATGAATGAGCGAGTGTGCATCTCTCGCTTTCGGCTGAAAACGCACGTGACGCTTCCAGAAGTTTCCAGAGGAGTGCAAACTTTTTTTCGCTCTCCGCGCCAGACATTTCATCCAGTGGCGTAGCGTGCTTTGCGATGTATCGATTGATCTACCGATTAAACCTATGTAAAAAGATCGATAAATGGGGTGTTCTGACGANTACACACCCACAGTGCGATGGATTTATGCAGATTTCCGGGAAGTTTGTTGCATGCGTGGATTAACCAGAATGAATGAGCGAGTGTGCATCTCTCGCTTTCGGCTGAAAACGCACGTGACGCTTCCAGAAGTTTCCAGAGGAGTGCAAACTTTTTTCGCTCTCCGCGCCAGACATTTCATCCAGTGGCGTAGCGTGCTTTGCGATGTATCGATTGATCTACCGATTAAACCTATGTAAAAAGATCGATAAATGGGGTGTTCGCAACGAACATCTTAGTAATCGATTCTTTACTATGGCTTCCAATGGGGAAATATCGATATATCGCAAAGCACGCCACGCCACTGATTACATCACGCCGGAGAGAGAAAGAGAAAGGGTGAGTGAAATGACAGTCACGTAATAGTTTACTTCATTTATTGACGTGCGGTTTTAAGACGAAAGAGGGAGAGTTTTATATGGATTACATTTTGCAATATGGAACCACTATATCTGGCCCATTTTTGAAACAACGTACATGACACTGGTTTCCATGTGCAAATATGTGCTTTTATGGGAGAGCCAGAGATACCATATGGGATACTAACTTCGACTACACATCAGAGAGGATTGAAAAACATTATACATGGGCAATATACGATAAATGTACCACATTTTCTGGTGGTTATTGAAAATTGATAGGCCCACGGTCAAAAGAACCTTAATTCACGCAAGCAAGATTTTTAGTAGAAACATTAAGCAGGGTCAAAAAATTGAATGAAAGCTGAATAAAATTGGATTAAATCTTTGAATCTTCGATTGAAATTTGTGAATAAAATCTTGATGGAAATAGAAATATACGTAAAATTATATTAAATATATAAATCTAATCCCTATCACTATCATACGTTTTTTTTTTTTTTTTTTTTTTTTTTTTTTTTTTTTTTTTTTTTTTTTTTTTTTTTTTTAAAGAAATGGTTTGTAAATTGTTTGTACTTTTTCGTCAAAGTAAGTGCAGTTAAGTATATTTTTGTGGCAAAAATAAGAGGGAGAAGTTTAATTTAGGTCTTGCGCTCTGAATGTAACAAATATTTACTTTAAATGGTTTTTTTCTCGAAATTACAGTACTTAAATTGCATAATTAGGACCATCCGAACTCTGCTTTGGTGTGATAAGTATGGGTATTTTTCTCTCTCAAAATGTTCGGGGAAATCTTCGCCAGGATGAGGTAATAATGAGGTAATTTTGGGTTTAAATGAATCAAGGTCGCACTTTAACCTTAAAGTTTCACAAAAATTATGAAACAAACTGGCTGAAATTGCCCACGACAAAACCTCCGAACTGCCCGCCAGCGCCACGCCGCAGGCCGCAGGTGAAGCTCTGACTGGAAAGTCAAAAACGCCTTCAATCCAGTACATATGCAACACGGACATCCATGGAGTTCGAATAGTTGTATCCAGGCGCTACACTCAAATTCATTTTTTTTTTGACATGCACCACTAACAATAAGTGAGGACGGTTTGCTTGTTTCTATTATTTATTCAGTTAATTCCAGCGTTGTTTATTGTACTAATGAAGTAGAATATTACTAGGTTTTATTGGAACTCTGTCAATTTACCCGGTAATGCTTTAATTTTTTAAAAGTATCTCTACTTTACCCTCCAAAAATGTGGGCAAAGGCTGAGGTCCTCCTCGGATTGACTTCTCAATACTAATTATCAAGACTAAGAGGATTTTAATAGTTTTCTTTTTCATCTTCCATTTTGTAAAAAACGGGTTTTTTACGGATACCATTCACTGCAGATCATTTGTGGTTTATCATTCAATATTAAAGGCACTCTTAAGGTCTATAGATTCACATATCTGCAGTAGAAACTGACGAGGTTAAGCAAAACGGTCACATCTGCTTGATCTGTGTTGCACTTTTTCTAGCTCTGGTCTCCTATTTTAATTGTTTGGAAGGGTACTCACCAACATCCCGACTCAAAAATTGTTGCATTTTTTTTTGCCAATGCAAAAATCATTTCCACAAAATACACGACAATGTTGATTGGTCTCGTTCCAAAAAAATAAAATAAGTGCTGAGAGTTTGGAACACTGCAATGTAGATATGATTGTTTTGCTTAACTCTATCCAAATGAGATTAAGTTTGTTAAACGTCTTAGAATAAGATGGAAGAAATCTCTGGGATTTACTTAAGACGTGCATTTGAACTGCAGGATGCAAAGTTCCTTTGATTCTTGTAAGCTGGCAATACTGTTTTCCCTCCATTTAAATCCATTGGAAATATCGATTCCAGATGAGAAAGCCTACTCGCTTGGATTCAATTGTTTTGCATACATTTAAATTGATGAACTTCAGCGCTGCCAAGTTGCAAAAATCAATACTGCTGACTGCGTTTCATCCAGCAGCTACTGCAGAAAGTCTGTCAGATTGGAACTTGTTTATGAAAAATATCGACGGTGTAAGTCGGCAATCACATGACTCGGTTTGCGACGGTGCAGACTTCTGGCCATACTTTATTTTTATAACGGAAAACTACTCAACAGCAATTCTTTAAAACTGCCGTGATTTTTCTTATTTGTGGGAAGAAAATTCTGCATAAACTTCAAGGAATGATGTCAATTTGTTCTTCTTTCAAAAAATAACATAGAGGCGGATATTTTCAGACACCACAAACGAGATATGTGATTGCGGACTGACACCATCGATAGGTCTCAACATTTTGTTCGTCAGTTAAAAGGACTTCATTTTTTAATATGGGACTAGTATTTGGACCACACTTGCAATGAAGAGCTACTAATTTTGACATATTTTAGAAACAGCGTAATTGTCATTTGTTCCCCTACGCAGATAGGAGTTTTTATGAATAAAAGAAATATTTTCGAAGAAGACATTTGGGGACATTCAAATGCTTATACGGTATTTACTTAGCACGGGAGTGACAACAGGTGCAGGTGTTGCAGGGTTTTCAGAATCATCCTATAAAAGGACGAACATTGCTTCTAAATTAAACTTAGAATGTTTGCTCTTCATAGCAAAATGTAGTCCAAATCAGTGTTCGAAACTCACCTTTGAGTTTAAGGAGACATGTGGCGCATCAAGCCCGATTTTTAAGCGCCATCAAAGATTGTTTAGGGGTCAAATTGACTTTTTGCCTACGTATTACGGCACATTTAGTGAACAGTTAGACGCAAGATGTTTCCGTAACAGAACCGGTAAGTAGCTGTAACTTGGGCAAGACAACAGCACTAAGAATGAAATCGTGATGAATAGAAAAAACTCTCAACTGTAGTGCTGAAAATTCTGAGTTTTTTCAATTCAAATATACTTGTTTTTCTTTCTTTATGTGACACACTGGAAAAAACACATTGGATCTAGAGTCCAGACTCTTAAAAACATCGACAGGAAAAAGTGCTCTTGATTCAATCAGAATCTAGCTTAAATCAAGAACCAAGCCTCTTAATTTAAGCGGATTTCGTTTTGATTCAAGTATAACTCCGATTGAATCAAGAGTATTTTTTCTCGTGAATGTTTTCAAGAGTCTGGACTCTAGTTCCAATGTGTTTTTTTCCAGTGCATCCTATGAAAGTCCCGATTTTTAGGGGACAATCTTCAGGCGCCATGACCGATTTTTTAAGCGCATTTTGGCTCGTTGCGCCTGGGAGTTTCGAACACTGGCCCAAATACACTATTATTATGGGTCGAAAATGGCAGATGAGCGACTCACCAGAGTGAATTCCGATTCGGAGTTTGAGCTTGTCGTCAGGTCTGTGTTTTATGGTGAAAGTCTTCACAGCCTTCAGTAACTCTAGAGACATCAGCGCGATTTCTCGCGCGTGCTCTAGACCGTTGCGAACGGGCAGCCCTGACACTACCATGTACGCATCACCGATTGTCTCCACCTGGACAAAAGAAACAAACATCCAAAAATTTAAACGCAGCCATTAAACAAGAAAATTAACAGGCCCATCGTACAGGATAAAGTATATTTATGTATACGGAGAGTATGGACACGAGATGTCATGGAGACCTTTAGACTAGCCGTGCCGAGGAAGAAAGCCGCACGAGTCACCCAGAAAGACATGCGTGCAGGGTGTTCTCGAACGCCCGATCCGTGGATCGAGCTAAGGAAGAACGCCGTATGAAATTTCGAAAGGTGCTAAATTTCCCATGATGAAACATGTATTTTTGACGACATTCATGCATATTTGTCCTTAAAATTATCTGATATTTTAGATTGAATTGCGTAAAAATGTGTCTGAAAATTTAGGAAAATAATTTGCAGAATACTCTCAGTGAATTCGGTTTTTATCGGAGGAAATTTGGCAACGCCTGAAGCTCATACGGCGTTTTCCCTTAGCACGGCAGCGTGGATCGCGGGCGGACGGTGTGCATCTCATAACACGGGGCACACTCCTGCAGGAGCAGTATAGGCAATTTGCACATCGGACCGTTAGAGTAACAGTGTAGTGCTTGAAGTATGACTGCGATGTAGAAGGCGCTGTGGTGGCGAATGGTCCGCGATGGCGCGGCGCGCCTCTCGGTCTCGTTGCCCCCAATGAGTGGAACTCGCAGCGTCAGCAAATAAAAATGAAGTGCAACCATGCTGCTGAAAACTGTGCGAGTGGTCTGCTTTTGATAAAAACGTATCTGTTCCTGCTTAAACACTGATTTTTGTGTATATCACTGCAGCTGCGCTAATGGTTTTTTGATATAACGAAAACCAAGCGCCATTTTTATTGGATAAATTAATAAGTTATAAAGTTATTTCGTGGTGAAATTATATATTATAAAGTGAGAGAGGGCTGTTGCCATTGGAGTTCTGCCGTGCTAAGGAAGAACGCCGTATGAACATTCGAGAGTTCCCAAATTTCCTTTGATAAAATGTTTATTTTTGAGGAAAGTTATGAATATTTTTCCTCTACATTTTCAGAATCTTTAAGTGAGATTGCGAACAGGGGAGAAAAATTGAAAAATTGAAAAATCTGAAAAATTGGGAAGAAAATATTCATGAGTTTACCAGGAAATTCGCGTTTTTGGCAACGCCTGGAGGCTCATATGGCGTTCTTCCCTAGCACGGCAGAGTTCATACGACGTTTTTTCTCAACACGAAGTGAAACGCAAACCAAACCCACATTTTTATTAGTCTCGGTAAAGTTTGCGTTCACTTTAATAGCACAAAAGACAAAAGAAAAACCGAGAAACCCCAGTTTCAACCCAAAGGTCTTGGTTACTTTGTGTTCCACTTCCCGTAGTAACCAAACTCATGGGTTCTTTTCCCTCTCAATGTAGCGTCGTTCAGTTTCTCAGAATTTTAAATTGAATTGATGCGACGCACAGTGGATCGAGTCACTTAGAGAGATCGGACATTAAATTGTTTACAAAAACTCCACATTTTGATGTTTATTTCGTCACGATTTAAAGTTCAAGGGGTGCTTTTGAAAAAAAAATTTACGAGAAAAGCGATAAAACCACTTTTGGAACCTCAAACACTGGGAAAGAAACCTCGGCCGTGGAAGCCGTACTTACGGGCAATATAGACATACCGTCCACGTTCCGGGCTCAGAGGCCGAAAGTTCTGGGCGTAGCACCTGGAGGAATCGAAGCTACGGCTTTAGCACCCGGAACTTTCGGCCTCTGAGCCCGGAACGGACGGTAGGCCTATATAGTCCCTAAGTTTTTTTTTCAGTGAAGTTTTGTATAAACGGAGTTATAAACGTTTATAGCTTCCAAATTTTGTCCAACATCTCGTATTGACTCGGTCCACTGTGCGACGCGGCAACAAGCCTGCGCGCCTACCAATCTTGTCTCACCCTTGAGGCATATTTCGTCGCTCGGCTGACGTAAGGGCGTAACTACACATTGAGATGAGCCCGGAAAAGCATTGAAACATGTGGAAGACAGGGCTGATTGCAGAGTGTAGTTACGCCTTTATGTCAGGGAGGCGACGATTTAAATTGAAGTGGAATGCAATTGCTGCAACAGAGAAAATATGCGGGTTATTTGCAATTCCCCGCAGTTACCCGGGGACGCTCCCTCTCGGCGCGTTGAGAGGGAGGGGGAATCTCACCTTTCTCAAGAATGGAGAAAGCGGTTAGTAGGAGGAAAAGAACAGATTCAAATGCTCCTTTTTTATCTCATTTCTCTTAGAGATGGTCCACAAATTTGCGCAATATCGAGTACTTACAGTAAACAGAAAAAAACCTAGGATAACAAATCGTCACCGTACTCACCGTCTGACCTAAGTATCACAAGCGCCATGCGGGTTATTTGCAATTCCCCGCAGTTACACGGAAAAAAAAGACCTGTCATTTTAACAGTCGCATTGAATGTTAAATTTGTTTGAAGTTTCTCTGTTCTTTTAGTTGTCGTGACTGATAGTTTAACATTTTAAGTATGTTGAAACAAAAGTGTGCAACTCTGTTAGCTCAACATCTTATTGATGCTTTTGAAATAACATTCTGTATGTTATTCCATCATCACACGACTGCTGAGTTAACGTCAGGTGCAGTCATTAAATCAACAGTTCCTGAAGCTTTTGGAATGACTGTCATTGACTTTCGATTTTACAGTCCACACGTTATTTTGACATTCGTTTGGATTTTAAATTTACACTCGTGCAGGTGTTGGTCTAATGCTCTGAAGGTCGTTAAATTTGCAGAAATAATCTGCTGAAGCAACAGCGAGGGTGTCGAAATAGCAGCCTCTCATTTAACAGCGAGTTGACAGTAAAATGCTGTCCGTTGCACGGAGCATTCCATCCCGGCCAGTCCCGCGCGATCGGCGCAGCGCGCACGCGCAGTTGTATACAGTTGTCGATCGCCCCGCTGCGAGCGGTGACGCAGAAAACCTCTCCTACCCTACCCGCCGCACTGCCCACCCTCCTTCTCGAGGGTTGCGCGCCGTCCTGACAAAGGGCCCGGTCAGGGAAATTCTCAGAACTCCAACCGCCCGGGCCTGGCGTTCGGTTGTTTCTTCCTTCGGCGTTGTTCCCGCATTCCAGTCTGTTCGCTGAGGCCGCCACGTCATTGTTTAAAGGGATTTCGTTTGCTCAACAGTCAGTGGTTTTGAGTCAGAGAAGTCTTGCGCTTGCGTTTCGAAATCGTGCTCAAATAGTGTTTGCGAGTGAATTTTGGCGAAGAAAGTGATTAGTTTTGATACTCAGTGCGCGATCTGCAAAATTAGTAGCTCCATAGGAAAGTAACTCTTACGATATAAGCAAATTTGGGCACACTGTAATCAGTTGCGGGCAGACGCCATTTTTTGAGGCATCATCATGAATCCGTTCAATTCGAAATTTCTGCTGCCGTGTATTTGTGCTTTTTGGTTTTAACTTCACCATTGACATTACACGCACTCTCAACTCAATTAGGTTTGCGTCCAGTGCATCAAATTATTATTTTTAGCGTGCCTTACATATTTATATGCAGGCACTCTTTTGATTTCGTTTCCTGTAGATTATACCATTAGCCCTGTCCTCTATACTTTCCGACCCAATTCCATTGTGTGATTTTTTCCTTTCCTTTCGTTCAAAGAAATTTAGGCTGTTTTGAAATGAAATGAAGTGATAATTTAGCAAATCTTAATCTTGGTAGAATTTTTTGAAACCTTTTATAATACATTTTCGGTATTTTTAACTCATAAGCACGATCTGCTGTTTGGTTCTTACGTTGTTTTTTATTGATGATGCCAACGTGACATTGTCTTAATGGCGTAAAGTGTTTCAATGTGTAATACAGTGCCTGTGCGGTATCTGACCAGGCTGCGAGTGAAAAGTTCGGTTATTTGAAAAAAAGAAAATAACGGATGGAGAGGAAGGGTTTAAAATGTGCCTCACATAATTTGTTGACGACCCCAAGGCCATGATCAATTCTGCCCCACCAAGAACTGCAAAGATGTATACTTTGTGTAGTGTTTCTGTGCATTTAAGCTGTTAAAATTTTTGTGAAATTAACTCATTGTGAAACTGATTTAGTCTGTAAATGTTACTTTGACCGGAATATTATCGACGGTTTTTGTATCATTTACTTGAAACCAGTTAAGCAGTTATCAGCTATTTACATAAGCATGTAAGTATGACCATAATTTTTACAGTTGCGTGGCATTGTATCTGCTACATTAACAGCAGTGTGAATGAAAATTCAAGAGCGATTTAGCTTTTACATGAGCAGCAGCGCTGCTACATCGACAGCAGCGTGGANTTTTGCATGAACTGTACATGTATGTGCAATGAACGCATGGTTTTCATCCAATCTAAGCAAGTATCACAAGCCAATCCTATGGCAGTTTGTAATTTATGTGAAAAAATGACAGTAACTTTTGCAAATGATATCTTAGGGAAAAGCGGATGTCAAATTCGGATTCAGCGCATCAAAATCATGAGGAAAACATATCTTAAATGTATTTATACTCAAACGGAGAGCCGCTATGATTTTTGATCACTGAAAAGTGAATTGGGACCATAGTGGGGCGTTGAGAGAGAGGTGGAATCTCACCTTTCTCAAGAATGGAGAAAGCGGTTAGTAGGAGGGAAAGGAACAGATTCAAATGCTCCTTTTTCCATCTCATTTCTCTTAGAGATGGTCCACAAATTTGCGCAATATTAGGTATTTACAGTAAACAGAAAAAAACTCACACGGGGAAAAAAACACATCGGATCTAGAGTCCGGACTCTTGAAAACATTGACAAGAAAAAATACTCGTGAATCAATCAGATTTAAGCTTAAATCAAAAGAAAATCCGCTCAAATTAAGAGGCTTGGTTCTTGATTTAAGCAAAGAACCGATTGAATCAAGAGTATTTTTTCTTGTCGATGTTTATAAGAAACTGCATGGACTCTAGATCCAATGTGTTTCTTTTTCCAGTGACAGGATAACAAATCGTCACCATAGTCCAGGCAAAT